GCTGGGGAATTCTGGGAGTTGAAGTCCACACGTCTTCAAGTGGCCAAGGTTGAGAAACACTTCTCTTGATGACCCAACGACTTCAACGTGCTTCTTTCATACCAGGCCCTCACTTTAGTATTCAATCCACGTTTGCTCAGCACCCACTCATTCTTGACTCAACACTGCTGGTTGCATCGTCACCCACACTTCTGAATCCCCACCCCTTCTGAAACGATCATCTCCGACTTCCCTGCAGCAAAGTGTGCACAAGCCCTCTCTTAGACACAGCCCTCTTCACTTCTTTCGACAAATGTTCCCTTCCCACAACAGACCACCTAGGCCCCACTACCTTTCAACTAACTCCTGAACCTCTCAACATTTCTCCATCCATTTAAACACATTTTACTTCTGGTAAATACAGCCACAGTTGACTGGGATGTTCCAGATCTTTACAGATTCTGGTTTCTTGATTGGCACAGTCCAAAATGAGGCATTATGGCAATGGCATCTATGGGGTGGGGGGAGTGGGGGAGGCAGAATGAGAAAAAGCTGCACCACGCCGTGGCCGCACAAACCCTGCTGTTTTATGCATGGGTTGTGATGTTGCATGCGCATATGAAATGGGAGATTGTGTTGCTGTAGCGCAACACGGTTTTTGTCCTTTCAATGAAATCAGGAAGCTTATCCAGGCGCTTGCGCTCCGCGGCTGGCTTGTCTTCCAAGGTCTTGAAGCGGTTGGAGCCCATCTTATATTGGCTTGAAAAGAAAACATGTCATCAGCAGTTACCAAGCTGGACCTGGAGGACGAGAATTCACATCTTACAAGGCCTGGGCGAGAGGACAGAGGACAGGGAAAGACATTTTGGGCCGAAGAGGCAGGAAGCAGAAAACGGAGACCGAGAGGGACATTTGTGGGTGGATTTAGAAAAATGCACCGAAACAGAGAGTCGCTTCGGCCAGTGACTTTCTGCAAACGGCAGGGTTCGGCTCCTCCTTTTTGAAGCAGGGACAGGATGGAAAAGTTCAGAGGAGCCATCCGTTTGAAGAAACGCTGTCCCTGGCTTAAGAACAGCAGAGGAGGAAGAGGAGGCTTACCTTGACGCCATCTGGCCCCGCAGAGCCCGTCTTTCCTGGCAACCCACGTAAACCCTGAGGACAAAGACGGCCGGAGTGAAAGGGTGCTGTGGCAGCCGACCCCAAGCCTTCGTTCTGGGCCTGAGCACCATGAGAAGAGGGGCCGGCTAGAATTCAAAATGAACCAGCCCCCGAGAGCTGGGAGACCCCACTTTGAATCGCACGGGCCACTTAAGCCGGCTGGAGAGGCCTGCGGAAAGCTTGAGAAAATGGACTGGGAAAGCAGGATTTGAGGAGTCGGGGTGGACAGCTGGCAGCCTGAGGGACGTGGGCAGCCCTGGGCCCAGTTTGTTCCTGCCTGTCGGGTAAACCCAGACTGCCCGTCCCCTTCCTTGCTACCTTTCCTTTTCTTACATGACTTTTTTCTTCTAATCCTGGCCCAAAGCAAAGTGGGAGAAACAGCAAATGATGAAGCGGGTAAAGAGGGGGACAGAAAACAGACAAAGGGGTGAATTCAGCCCCCCTCACTTTTATTCCCCTTGGCTGTTTTGCTTTGTTTTTTTAAAAAAAACCAACCTCCCCCACATCCTACCTTGGGAATTGGGTTGGACAAACTTCTGGTTTGGCACCGTAAGTGGGTGTCTGCCTGATTTTGTGTGGGCTCTACCCTACCTTGAAAAACTTTCTGTAAGCAAGCAGTTTCAGATTTTTGGAAAGGATTGCTGCCCCATTATGCAAGAGTCTGTTGATTG